CCAGCGACACGGGGACAAGCAGCCACACAGTGTCAGGGCCCTGGTGCTGCTTTAGAAAAGGCCCTTCTCGGGGACGAGCAGGTGGCACAGTGGTGAAGGTGCTGGACTCCCACAAGGCCAAGGCGGTTTGAGTCCCGGACCTGGCAGCTTAAAAACCACCCTGGGCACATGTGCGTGCGTGCCCTCAACCTCAGGGGGAGAGGGAAGGAGAAGGGATTGTGGCGTGGCTGTCCCCTCTGGGGGGGTGAGTTCTCACTTTCCCTCTCACCATCTCTGTCTCCACCCAACACACCCCCCACCCCGCCCCCGAGTTCTCCCCATCTCTGCCCCCCCCCAACCCCCCTCCCCCCCCCAGTGCATGCACCCTAAGGCAAAAACCTTAAAAAAAAGAAAAGAGGGGCCGGCAGGTGGCGTGGTGGTTAAGGACGCTGGACTCTCACATAGTCAACTGAGGTTCGAGGCCTGGACTTGGTGACTTGCTCTCTCACTTTCCCTCTCTCTCTCTCTCTCTCTGTCTGGTCAAAATAAAAATAATAATAACAACAAAAAATGAAATTAAATAAGTAGATTATTAAAGAACAGAAAAAAAGAAAGGAAAAAAAGAGGGACGAGCAGTTGGCGTAATGGCTCTGTCGATGGACAGATGTAGTCAACCATGGTTTGAGTCCCAGACCCGGTGGCTTAAACTAACGCCAGGCACCTGTGCATGCATGCCCAAGCTCCCGAGAGGAGAATGGAGGAGAAGGGACTGTGGTGTGGCCGTCCCCCCTGGGGGGTGATTTCTCACTTTCTGTCTCTCTGGCTCTGTCTCTCTGGTGAGTGTACGCACCATATAGCAAAAAACTCTCCAAACCTCGTAGCTTAAAACTCATGCAGGGCGCATGTGTGTGCGTGCCCAAGATCCCGAGAGGAGAATGGAGGAGAAGGGACTGTGGTGTGGCCGTCCCCCCTGGGGGGTGATTTCTCACTTTCTGTCTCTCTGTCTCTCTCTCTTTCTGGTGAGCACATGCACCCTATAGCAAAAACCTCTCCTAAAAAGAAAAAAAAAAGAAAAAGAAAAGAAAAGAAAAAAGAAAACAAAAGCCCTCTTAGGGCTGGTTGGGCAGAAACCCAAAGTGAGGAAGGGCATTGTTGCTATCTGGAATGAGTGTCCAGGTGGGGAACACAGAGGTGGCTTCTCCCTGAGGAGGCGAGAGACTGAAGAGGCCACGTGGCTGAAGCAGAACAGGGGAGGAAGGAGAGAGGGGGAGGAAGAGGACTGGGAAGAGGACTGGGAAGGGATGAGGCATGGGAGCCGGGGGAGGACCTGAGCCTTGACCTAGGAAGGTGGGAGCCACGGAGAGTTCTAGGTAGAGGGACGCACCCTGATGGACAGACCAGAGGGTTTCCAGGAGAGCCCCACAAGCAGTAGCCAGCAGAAGAGGGCATGAGCTTCCCTCCCACTCAGACTCCTGCGGCCCCTCTTCTGGGCCACCCGCCTGTCCCTGAGACGCGGCTCCAGCGCCCTTACCTGTAGATCGGGGTGGTGTAGTAGTTGCCAACTTTCTTCTTTTCTGCATTGTAACGAACACCTGGGAAGGAGGGGAGGGGGTGGAGGCTCAGGCTCGGGCCTCCCCAGCATCTTTGCCCTTGAAGGGGTGGGTAGATGGGGGTACTATTCCACTAGCCCCTCAACAGTACGGATGGGTAAACTGAGGCACGCAGAAACCCAGGGACTTGCTGAGGGTCGCCGGGCTAGGAAGTGGCAGACGGGATTCGAACCCAGAGTGCGGTTTCCCCAGTGATCTGCGAAGAAGCTCCGCCAACCTGCCTGTCGGGCACCTGTCTCCCCTCCCTGATTCCCGATCTCACCCTCTTGATCTCCCACCCAACAGAAGTAGAGCCCGGCCAAAGGGGCCTGCAGGACTGAGGGGTTGTGCCGGATTGCGGGGCCACGCGGGGGGACGCTCACCCATGCCGATGTGGTTCTTACAGCCATCGCACCAGATGTTATAGGGCATCTCGAACCTACGGAGACAGAACGCGTCTGCTTACTTTTCTGTATTGTCTTGCCCGAAAGCACACGCATTCCAGAGAGAGACAGAGACACAGATGAAATGCTGTGTCAGTCCTGGATCTTGGCCTTGACAGGCCCTGCAGGCCTCTCTGTTTTGGAGTCCTGCTGATGCTACCATGTGAGCATGCCCAGGTTAGCCTGCTGGAGGATGAGACACGACATGGAGCAGAGCTTGGTCACATGGGTCAAGGCCCTACTAGACGAGCCAGCTAATCTTTAAATATTTGAGAGAGCCCAGTTCAGACCAACCAAGCCCAGTCAAGCCCTCCGAAGCCGAGCAGAGGCATCTAGCTGACTTGTGAGCAGTAATAATGCTTGTTGTTTTGTTACTCAGCGCTAGCTGACTGATACAGTGATTTTTTTTTACACAGCAGTAGCTGACTAAGACAGTGACTTTCTGACATATGGAATGAACATCCTGTAGCACCAGGCCAATCAGGGGACGCTTACATTCTCCTTGAGACAGGTGCAAGGTGGCAGAGAAGGTGAGCGTCTCAGGGGACGCCAGGGCCTTACCTGATGATGAGGATGCCTTGGGACAGCTTCCGAGCCCGCTCTCGAAGCGGGTGGCTGTTGTGGTATCGGTTGAGAGAGCCATGCTGTGTGGGAGGGATGAAGGGACAGATTAGTGCTGGGCTGGGGTGCTCATGCTGTCTGCCATCCCGACCGCCCTGGAACAGGTGCCTCCTGGGTCAGGAGGGGCTTCATTCTTACGTCCCATGGAGGGCTGTGAGCAGCAATATGAGAAGACATGTTAGAGATCTTGGTGACTAAGCACGTGGGCTTGGAATCAGGAACACGTGGGCAGGGAGGTCTTCGGATAGTTCATAGAAAAAGCATGTTATAAGGGGCCAGCACGTGGCGTGGCGGTTGAGGCACTGGACTCCCACATGGGCAACTGTGGTTCAAGTCCCGGACCTGGCAGCTTGAAAATCACATCTGGTGAGTGTGCGTGCGTGCCCAAGATCCCAGGAGGAGAACGAAGGAGAAGGGACTGAGGCGTGGCCACCCCCCCCATGGTGATTTCTCACTTTCTCTCTCTCTGTCTCTGTATCTCTCTCCAGTGAGTGCACCCAAGCTGTAGCAAGAATCTCTCGAAAAACAAAATAAGGGACAGGCTGTTCTATTTCCCACTTTTGATGTATGAGGAAACTGTGGCACAGAGGCTAGTCCTGTGTTGAGGACATATAGCCGGGACACCCACGCCCTCATGGACACCCAGTGAGTGGGGACACAGCTGTGAACAAACGTTTGAACACCCCCACTCTTGTGAAGTAGATATTCTAGTCAAGAAGGCAGACAAGGGACCAGCAGTTGGTGTAATGGCTATGTCGCTGGACTCTCATGTAGTCAACCACGGTTCGAGTCTCGGACCTGGTGGCTTAAACTCACTCTGGGTGCGTGTGCGTGCGTGCCCAAGATCCCGAGAGGAGAATGGAGGAGAAGGGATTGCGGCATGGCCATCCCCCCTGGGGGGTGATTTCTCGCTTTCTGTCTCTCTGTCTCTGTCTGTCTTTGTGGTGAGTGCACGCGCCCTATAGCAAAATACCTGTCAAAACAAAACAAAACAAAAGGCAGACAATACACACACTGACTGAATGGCGGGTAAGTCAGTGAGGGGGTAATAAGGGCCATGCAGATAAGAATGAGACGATGTGACAGAGAAGGAGACTGTGGTCCAGGAAGACCTCTGTGGCCAGAAGGAGGGAGAGCGCCAGGGGGACAGGACAGCCAGGGGAGCAGAGAGGCTGGAGCGGAATGGGCAGGAGCTCTGAGCGCAGCCCGTGTGCTCAGCCCCATCCCGAAATCCGATGTGAACACCCTACGCCCAGCGCTGGACACGCAGGAAGGCCCACCGAGGAAGGCCGCCCTGAGACTCAGGCCGCGAGACCTGGGGGCCACCCCTCCTTCGCAGCTGGGGCCGCGACTCAGGAAGGAATG